GTTACGGTGTCCATGTTGAGACATTTTAGCACTTTGAGGTAGTCCTAATTGAGCAACACCTTTGCCATCTGTCCTTGGCCATTAAGAAGTCGTAAAAACAATCAATCAACAAAACTGGAAATCTCCATCCAAAGTCCCAATACTTGGTGAGTAGGACATTACAAACCACAAGGTGACAGGTGTGACGTACATAGCCTTACCTGTATAGTACTCGTCTGACCACAGGTAACGTGCTACAATATTAACCGCCATACTAATGTAAGTCCTAATCACATGCTTACGTCTTTACCTTAACCACAGTTAACCTTCGACCTTCTCTGACATGCTGACCCAGTCATCTGTGGACTGCTGACATACTTTTACAGAACCTGATGTTACCTATGAACCACTGACACCTTGTTTTTTTATAAAAGCTGATGTCATACTGATGTATGAGATACAATAAAATTACTGGTTATTTCTTTTGTTCTGCTAGACTCCACTAACGCTGCATATAAAACACATTTTTTTTTTATTCAAATTTAAACTGGTTTGATTTATAAGGCCATTAATATGAGGAAAAACCTTGGTCACACATAAAAGCTAACATCTACATAAATTACGTACTTCCTGCGTTTCCCACATTTAAACAAGCTTTTAATTTCAAACATAAAATATTAGTTGAGACAATAGGGTAACATCAACACATAATGACAGTAGGTAGACTTTTTTTCATTTTTTGTTACCGAAACATTGTGTATATGGAGCCTGAATTTACCATTTTTCTAAATATGGACATTAACTTCAAAGTCTGCGATCAAAATTTGGGTCTATTTATTGTAAACTACACATTATTATGAAAAGAGAATAAACAAGGAACACAAGAGGTGCAAAACAATATACGTCCCTCCAATGACATTCGCAGATTTTGTTCACATCTGAACTTGGCAATTGTCATGGTATTATATGAATACTGACAGTTTCATCAGAATCTAGTCATATTTTAATAAGTTTTTGTTTATCTTTTGTTTCATAATATGCAAACCGCTTTGAGACGACCTACAAACTAGGTTGTGATAAAGCAGTACATAAGAACCTCAAATTATTAACATTATTATTATCTTTGAACTTAAGACTTTGTCCTTGTAAATATTGAACAAGTTTCATCAGAATCTGGTCATATCTTTTATCGTTAATGTGAAGAAACTGCCTACCAATTTGAGCTCAATATGCATCTTTTTGAATTTTGCTCAACTTCAAACTTAGTCTTAGCCTTTGTAGATTGTACATGCTTACCAACTTTCATTAAAATCAAAGAATATCTAAGCAAGACATCTTTTTACAAATTTAAATGTTGATTGACAGATGTTTGCTTAACATACTATAATTGATATGTCTCTCATATGAAAATGGAATAGTAATTAAGAAAAGGTATAAATGTAGGGCAAAGCAAAATAGTCTGAACATTGCAGACAGTCTGTATACACAAATCTGCTTTAGCACTCACCATTCAGTCACTAGGGATATTCTTCAGATTGCTATGTACTTGTCACAAGGGCTGGACACACTAATATGATGTGTATATTCATATGCAAGACCACACACTTGTGTTTTTCTAACGAATCAGAAAGCCCAATCAATGAGTGCTTTCTGATTTGTTAGAAAAACACAAGTGTGTGGTCTTGCTTTTATCACATACCTTCCATATTTGGTAGAGATCAATACAAAGATTTTATAAACTTTGATATTTTTTGCAAATACCGGGAACTTTTCAGTTCGCCATGACAAGGGGATTCCCATAGAAAGTAGTTCCGGCTAGTAGGTAAATATAACATTCTGTATTGCACATACGTTGTATTTCATGCTCTGAAAATTGCTTGTATTACTATAACAAGATTCAACATGTATGTGATAAAGCACCATATATAGAGGATCTGACACTCGTGTTCATGTAATATTGCATTTATTGAACGAGTTTATTAATTTCATATGAAATTACTAAACAAGTCTAATAAATTCAGTATTACATGAACACGAGTGTTAGATTATATTTATTATATAATTAACGAAACACTCTTTTTCTTGACATGTCTCCTCTATATAAATTGTAACGATGGCTGACGAAAGGACGCATTACATGCATTTTGTTTGGAGCTTGCTGCGCCACAAAAAATAGTTTCAGAAACTTCTTCCTGAGAACCTTTTCAATGAACAAAAAATCATTTAGGTTTTCGGCATCAACCAATGTTTTAATAATTATCATAACAACATTAATAATCATTTTTTATACGAAAACCATTTAACGAATTGGCGTTTACGAAAATAGCAGTGACGTCACATATTTGGCACAACGGCGCTTGCACTGTCAAGGTAAAGGTCATCACAATACACATTGAAGTCTGCATTTTTTAAAAGTTTACAGGGACTGGAGTGATTGCCACTCTCTACAACACAAGCGGAATGTGAACCTCGATAATATACTGTGGAATCCGCCATGAAACTGGAACACTAATGAAGTTGACCGGTTACACGTGTTCGCCATTGATTGTGTGTATGTCGGAGAAGTTCAAGTGGAATTTGAACATGCAGGTGTTGAATTTGTGTGAAGCTAACACTGGTGTTTATATAATATTTAATTTATTAAACTCGTTTGTTAATTTTATTCTCCCAGTGGCCCTGCCTCTGCTGTCAATGCAAACAGTAACTCGGTCAGCAATTTTGTTTACAAACATAGAAGTTGTAGTGCGTAAGAATATGACCTGTTTCCCATGGTGACAAGACTCATTTGCATGTTTATTGTACGTGTGCTATATCGTTTTTATTGAACGTCAATATTGTATGAAAATAGCCTTTATTATATAATAAAATAGTATATACTAGTGATTGTATTCAGTCTGATTTTGAAGATTGATTATCGGACGTTCATGATTGATCGGTAATCGATTATCGGTTGAAATAAACGCCAAAAAGAATACATTTAATAAATTGACATTTTGTCCAATCATTAAAAAATATCTATATAACTATGTGTTATTTTTTAAAAAACAATTATATCTAAGGGACGTTCATATGATGAGAAAAGGTACTTCAGAAACGGACAATGACCGGTAGATTACCGTTTGAGAAGTGAACATACCTTTACCTATCTCCTGCAAACAAGTCATGATGATAGCGATAGTAACACAAACAATTCACAATTTCGTCAGTTATAAATTTAGCCGTACCTACAAAACACTTCACTGACCTTGATTACGTAATGACGCTATATATAGCTACCATGCTTGAATGCTGGCAAAATTCAATTATGGTCAAGCTCAATTTAACGGATGTTTCCGGTTACCAGTACACCACTAATATATACACATCATATTACTGTGTCCAGCACCAGTGGTACTTGTGGTGTTACTTATTGACATTTGATTTCCAATCAATGCAGGTTACTACTGTAAAACTGTTTTTCACTACAACCCCACCCTCTTTGTTGAGGGAGCTGTTTGTGGCCGGCCGAGTAGTAAAGCGTGTGGCCGTCTATGGTCACTAGCCAGGTATATATGAAGTGGGTACTGGGGCTGAGGAGTAAAGCGTCTGGTCGTCTATGGTCCCTAGCCAGGTATATATGTAGTGGGTACTGGGGCTGAGTAGTAAAGTGTGTGGCCGTCCATGGTCACTAGCCAGGTATATATGTAGTGGGTACTGGGGCTGAGTAGTAAAGCGTCTGGCCGTCTATGGTCACTAGCCAGTTATATATGTAGTAGGTACTGGGCCTAGTAAAGCATCTGGTCGTCTATGGTCACTAGCCAGGTATATATGTAGTGGGTCCTGGGGCTGAGGAGTAAAGCGTCTGGTCGTCTATGGTCACTAGCCAGGTATATATGTAGTGTGTACTGGGGCCGAGTAGTAAAGTGTCTGGCCGTCTATGGTCACTAGCCAGGTATATATGAAGTGGGTACTGGGGCTGAGGAGTAAAGCGTCTGGTCGTCTATGGTCCCTAGCCAGGTATATATGTAGTGGGTACTGGGGCAGAGTAGTAAAGAGTCTGGCTGTCTATGGTCACTAGCCAGGTATATATGTAGTAGGTACTGGGCCTAGTAAAGCATCTGGTCGTCTATGGTCACTAGCCAGGTATATATGTAGTAGGTTCTGGGGCTGAGGAGTAAAGCGTCTGGTCGTCTATGGTCACTAGCCAGGTATATATGTAGTGGGTGCTGGGGCTGAGTAGTAAAGCGTCTGGCCGTCTATGGTCACTAGCCAGGTATATATGTAGTAGGTACTGGGCCTAGTAAAGCATCTGGTCGTCTATGGTCACTAGCCAGGTATATATGTAGTGGGTACTGGGGCCGAGTAGTAAAGCGTCTGGCCGTCTATGGTCACTAGCCAGGTATATATGTAGTGGGTACTGGGGCTGAGTAGTAAAGCGTCTGGTCGTCTATGGTCACCAGCCAGGTATATATGTAGTGGGTACTGGGGCTGAGTATAGTAAAGTGTCTGGCCGTACATGGTCACTAGCCAGGTATATATGTAGTGGGTACTGGGGCTGAGTAGTAAAGAGTCTGGCCGTCTATGGTCACTAGCCAGGTATATATGTAGTGGGTACTGGGGCTGAGTAGTAAAGCGTCTGGCCGTCTATGGTCACTAACCAGGTATATATGTAGTGGGTACTGGGGTTGAGTAGTAAAGCGTCTGGCCGTCTATGGTCACTAACCAGGTATATATGTAGTGGGTACTGGGGCCGAGTAGTAAAGAGTCTGGCCGTCTATGGTCACTAGCCAGGTATATATGTAGTGGGTACTAGGGCTGAGTAGTAAAGTGTCTGGCCATCTATGGTCACTAGCCAGGTATAAATGTAGTGGCTACTGTGCCGAGTAGTAAAGCGTCTGGTCGTCTATGGTCACTAGCCATGTATATATGTAGTGGGTACTGGGGCTGAGTAGTAAAGCGTCTGGCCGTCTATGGTCACTAACCAGGTATATATGTAGTGGGTACTGGGGCCGAGTAGTAAAGCGCCTGGCCGTCTATGGTCACTAGCCAGGTATATATGTAGTGGGTACTGGGGCCGAGTAGTAAAGCGCCTGGCCGTCTATGGTCACTAGCCAGGTATGTATGTAGTGGGTACTGATGCCGAGTAGTAAAGTGTCTGGCCGTCTATGGTCACTAGCCAGGTATATATGTAGTGGGTACTGGGCCGAGTAGTAAAGCGTCTGGCCGTCTATGGTCACTAACCAGGTATATATGTAGTGGGTACTGGCCGCAGGTGGGTGTTTTTTCTCAAGATTCTCTGGCTTTCCTCCACCACTAAAACCAGGCACATCCTTAAATGACCATAGCTGTTAATAGGATGTAACACACAAACCAAACCTTGTTAGGTCCACATATACACCTGTCACTATATATAAACATCACCTACCTTAACTTCCTAAGCTTTCAGACCCAACAGTCCACAGTAGTCTTCTGTTAGTCCTTCAGTACCTGTAATGATATACATTGTACTTATATACAAGTTATAATTAGCAGCGGGGTCTCTACAGTCATAACAATGTTAATGTATACAGTGGCCTCAGGTATGTAATACCTACGAGTAACAGTAGATAGATCAGATAAGGATTTTATGATACAGGATAACAGTTTAATATTCAAGCTCAGGGGCTTAAATTGTGATAACATGTATTTATGTCAAATGTGACATAAATCTAGTCCATCCAAATAAATTTGTTTTCTGGAATTTCGAGGTTGCATATTCAAATAATTTCATATGTATCAGTTAATTCCTTTTTAATACCATTTTTTACCCATCTTTTGGTATGAAATTCAAATAAAAATGGAATTGAGGTCAAGGGGTTGGTATTGCTCATCAGTGCATGGTTCTTGTGCATTCATTACGTATTTCAAAATGAGCAATCAAAAATTAATACTACTGCATACTTCACCAGCAATGAACTAGACAAAAAGAAATAGTACTGTATAAATGTACATGTTCCTAATGTACCTTGTATCAAAAATGATCAAACTTGTTTTGTAAAACCATGTTCCTTTCAGCCATGTCCACGTGTGGCTTCATTCTTCATTTATTCAATAATGAATCTAATACCTTTATTGAAATACTTGTCTTCAACATTAACCTTTATCATTTTATTGAGCTTCACCCCCATCCCCACCCCCAGGTCCCCAGGGACAAACTCAATAAAGTCCCTTCAGCCAATTTTTATTAGCAACGTTTAACAGAAAAGGTTGACAGATTAAATTAACCTACTTGATTGGTACAGTAACAAAAAAGCGAATCAAATCAAGTCTGAAGTTTGTTTTGCTAAAGATCAACAATAGTTTGTTTGATTATCCAATAAGAGCATTATCTAAAAACGAGTCACAGGAAGTATGAAAGCGTTTATTTCCCTGTTTATAAGGTACCTACATGCATTCACAATGGGGAAAATCTTTTGATTGTAAATTATCAAATCAAGTAAAATAATTCAAATTTGCAATGTCAATGAAAAAATATGTTCTTAATGATCTATAATTTCGTCTGTATCTTTCCGGCAATTTTCGGAAATGAAAATACGGTGAAAAATGGTTTCATAAAGCCAATAACATTATTTGGCAGTAAATTTAAATCTGTGTAGATGTATTTTTTATTGTTCACCTTCTAGGCGGGAGATAACGTTCTGCGCTTGCACTCTAATTCAAGGATGCGTTTTTATATCTACTATATCAAGTTTAACAATAGGAAAGTTTTCATGTCTTTGCTAAAACATATATACTATACATGTATAATGTACCAAAGTGCATAAAAATTAAAGAAAAAAAATACTCCAAGTTCAAATAAATTTAAATCTGGAAACATAAATAATTATGCATATAAAGTGCAAAGTGACAGACCTCAAAACATGCTGGAGTTTTTAAATTAGCATAAGAGTTTTTATTTTGCTAACTAGAAAATATCAGACTTCTCATAATTAAAAAAACATTGAGTAAGAAAATGTTTGCATGTACTTTTGCTGCAACAGATAATAATATAGCATACAGAGTACAGTGGTAGACATTGATTGATTCATTATAACATTATCTTTATCAAACAGTTATAAGGTTATATTATTGCATATAAAGTTAGCAAACAATTAACTATCAAAGTATATAAAATCTTACAATACCTGTACTTATAGCATTTTAAGCAAGCTCAGTATTATTTTGACACATGCCTTAATAGCTCAATACACCTGTGCACACCTGGTCGTCTTTCCCGCTAACTGTCCTAGTTCCTCTAGGAGAGACAACACCCAAAATTGTAACTCACCTGTTGGGTCTATTTATAGAAATGACATAAACAGCTAAAATTCATTTAAATCAGACCTTGAATTTTGACCGAAATTTTCAAGGGCTGATCTCATTCTGTGAATAGTTGGAGGGGGTTCTCAGGTAAACGGCTCCACCCATTCCAGTGGACCCTATGAATTGAGGGTTCCTCTGAGTCATCATTAGCTACCTAAGGGCAGGTGAAGACTATGGCCATATGACTAACATGGGGCTCTAGTAGCAGTTTGAACACTCCATTAATACAATTGGTTGACAGTACGTAAGGGTGCCTGCTGTGCCGGAATACAGAAACTGATCTGAACAGCAAATAAAAGTATTAAACAAAAGTGAAAATACAAACTATATCTGAGTCAGAGTGCATATGGAGGCCAAAGGAATTAATGTGATGGAAAGAAGATAAAGATAAAAAGATGACAAATATATAACTAACTTTTGAACTATATTTGTGCATACTATATGTGCTATAAAGTGTGTATAGTTTATAAATTATGCACTCTATAAGTGTTGTATACTCTGAAATCCTTTTTTCCATGGTCCCTAACTTTTCCATGGTCCCTAACTTTTGCAGATTAACTAGAATGGTAACATAAATGTAAAATTGTTACCTTGAAAAATTGTGAAACTTCCAACCCAGTAAAGAAAACAATGTTCACATCAATATTAGACAAAAAGCATATATTTACTATGTTTCCACTTTTGACTCTCCAAAAATTAGAGAAGAGTAGGCAGGTACAACTTTTCATTTTGCAACAAAAAATATTTCAAACTTTAACAGTGCTTGCTTAAAATTAGACAAACCGAAAGGGCATGCATTCAAAACATTTGTATTTGTATTTTGTTATGGCCTTATATTGATGATAATAATGGGGTAAAAAGTTGTTGGGTAGGGACAGAGGGAGGGACACGATAGGGTGAAAAGTTGTTGGGTAGGGACAGATGGAGGGACACGATAGGGTGAAAAGTTGTTGGGTAGCTAGGGGCAGAGGGAGGGACACGATAGGGTGAAAAGTTGAGGGGCGGGGGCAGAGGGAGAGGACACCATTGGGTGAAAAGTTGTGGGCTAGGACAGAGGGAGAGGACACATGTTCCTGAATAAGAAAGCTAAGTACAAGTATTTGAACAATGAATGAGTCAGATGGTCAACACTGACATTGTTACTGTGTGTTACATACACAAGATATGTAAATACAGGGCCTACAGGTGACTCACACTACCACCGGCATCTCTTACATAACTCGTGTAGATATGGACACACACAATCAGCACATTAGTGCGGTAGGCTTTCACATTAGTAAGATATTAGGTAATGACAGTTACTTCCTGTCTTAGGGAAGTTTGATGAAAATCCTAAAAATGAAAATTTGCCGTAATGAAAGTAACTTTCTTTGTTTTAGGGAAATTTGATGAAAACTTTAAAAATTAGAATTTGAATTCTTCTTCCCATTTATACACCAATAACTTACCTGTTGGGATAGATTAAATTACTGGGTAAATGGTACAAAATAAGACTCAATTTCATAAGCACAAGCAATGTCAATTTTTCTAAAAGCAGAAATTGAAATTTTAAAGAAATTTAGTTTTTAACTCGCTGGAATATAAGGCAATTACAACAAATTGTTTTTAATTATGGCATTAAGTAATTAATTATATGTAAATATGCATGCATCACACAGGCTATCAAACTTTTAAGATTTACACTTGCAATGTACAGCATTAAATTAACATTTAAATTTTTAAGGCAATTATTGAACAAAAATTCAAGCAATATGATACATGCATGACTACAACACCCAACATTTAAAGTATCCCTCGTTTTCTCTGCAAAGTGGGGTATAAAAAGATCAGTAGAACATACAATAGTTTAACTACCTAGTAGTGCTACGTATTGGGAAGTGATGTGTGTGTTTTATAATCAGCAAATATACCACACAGACTTGAAGAGAAAAATATAATGCTTATCAAAAGTATGCTAGCTAAAAATCAATGTTGAAGGAGGATATCCGTCCGTCCATGATTTTGATATTGTGATGATATAATACCTGCTGTGATGAATCAATCAGATAAAATATGGGATGATCAACATGTAATACTAGTGACTCTGGAAACTTTTAAATTAAATATTTTATTTTAAAACAAGGTGAAACAAGTCCCATCAACTCATATTAATCACTCTTGTCCCTTCTAATTAGTAACACTCTTTCTGATGGGATATCTTGCCAGGGTCTATAATAATTTCTATAGACCCCGCTCTGCCGGTAGTGTGCTTATTACAAAGATGGTTGTGTATTGTCCGAAATATTGCCGAAAAAGTGTCCGGTAGGGGCTATTTTGGTAGCAGTCACGTACAACTCAAACTCACGAAGTGATTTTAATAATGCAGAAAAAAAAGTAATAAAAGATTGACAGGGTGACAAATTCGTTATCTCTGGGTTAGGAGCTCGAGGGGTCTACTGGCTCATAGACCCCTTTGGTTTTTATAGACCCCTCCTAACCCCGAGATAATATTGTTGGCTGTAGTGCCCAAGGGGTCTTAATGTGGGAGGAAGCCTGGGTACCTGGAGAAAGTCTGTACCAACCGACCACCCATCGGACACCTCATGTGCTACATATAGAAGTACCAGTTTGTTTTCCAACAAATTTAAGGGAGGTTCCTATCTGAAATATCCTGCACACTCCCTAGCCCAAGATTCCTATGGTTCTGACAGTAGACTTTTTGACATTCTGACAAAAAGATGTCTGGTGTGGTGTGGGCTTCACACAGTGTCCACTGATTAATTTGTTAGGTGGTGGGCTTATTACCGGTAAAATTTAATACTTTAAAAAACAAACGACGTCACTGGATCTGAAATCACTATCTAACTACAAACGGTTTAAAATACAACCTCAACAGTCATAGATAAACAAAAAATGGCTAACACTGTAAAACTGGACCTTGTTGAATCCTTTGTTAACACAGTGAAATATTGTATCAAGCGATAACATATGGTTGTCATTGGACTCATCTCACTGTCTGTATCTCTGGTATAACTTACTTGTGGGGTGAGTCACACTCAGCAAGGAAACCACCGTCTATTTTCGTCACCGGGCTATTCTCCGCCAAAATATGACGTGTTGGCTAAAAATAGTAACACAATAACTCTGTGTATTACAACAGAAAACTCACCGGTATATCCTCACATTGAATTGACGTTTCTAATAAGGACGACAACTGTGCAGTTTGTTTTCGCAAATGACAAAATGAGATAATCTTCAACTAAATATTAGGTTAATTAAAATGTTTACCAAGAATAAGACGATCGTTTGCCGCTGTCTGGTTGAAGACGGATCGATGCGAGTGTTGTGTTTGACATTATTCCAATACTTTATCTACCTCCCTGTAATCTGTGAACAAAATTAATTACAAAAGTACTCGTTTTACAGTGTATCATTATCTTATTGAACGTGTTTTTGATGGAAAATTTAATTATATATGATCAAAAGAAACCGCCCCGTGAAGGGAATCTTTAATTAGTATGTGAACAAAATTACAAAATATTACAGGGAGTATGTACGATTACTAGAACAGCATGGAACAGATACATATTGCTTGCAGTTGCCTCCCCTACAACAGGTGCCCCGTACATCTGCCATTTTACTAGCTGCGGGAACCGTAGCTTCTAGGCCCGATCATTTTTTATTTATTTTTTATTATCGAACCAAAGAATTGAAAAAAAAGGAAAAAAAACACGATCGGGCTTAGAAGCTATGGTTCCCGCAACCACCATCTTACCAGCATGAAAATAATAATAAAAAAAAATATCTCTCAAGTGCGACCTCGCGCATTTTTAGAATAAAATTATTTTTTTATTCAATCAGAGTTTTAGGTCGTTTAAATATTGCCATTGCTTTCTTTTTATCATTTAGTATCCAAAATGTCCACTGGTAACATAGTATCAAAGTCCTGGGGAATCCAGTGTGATTAATAATGAAAAGCACTCTAAAAGTAGTGAGGCGTTCATATTTCTGTTTTCTGCAATTTATGTGGATTTACAAGCAAAAATGCAGGTAATCCATCCACCCAGCCCCCGATTATTCAAAATTAAAATTGAACCACAAGTCGTGCTTTTAGCGTTGGTAAAAAATGTCACGAAAAAGAAGTGGAATCAAGAGTATATCTAATACATTAAGGCGTGTGTATAGGGTGGCTTAAAGAAGAAATTATCATTTTAAGCAGGGACGTATATACTACTGGCCCTGGTTTAAGAATTCAATTCATGGCAACTGAGACCTCATTGGGGAACACCTATGTCTGTGCTAGAGCAGCGACTTAAATATTTATATTCAAATCCATGAGTGCAAATTAATGACAAAATTATTATACATTGTCACCATTTTCATGTGACATGAAATTCCAGTTATTGATATTTAAACTTTTAAAGAATTATGCTGGTGACTCAATCAGTGAATCATGTGATAGACTCCCACGGAAATATGATTTTTTTATGAATTTGACTTAGTCGAAATAAAATTGAAATAAAGTAAATAGAATAGCACTAACCAAATATGTAAGAGTCAAATCCGAGTTGTCCTTTTTTAGAAAGCGTACTGGCAGATGTGCAGTGACGTGTCAAAAACCGCATATTGCGACGGTCATTTTCCACATTTATTTCTATGGTCATAATTTAAAATTTAAAAAGGGGGGATAAGGACTAAGTATTGACTTACAGTTTTCACTGATAATTAAAATTTTATATTAGGATTTTTTAAAAAAAGCTACAGAAATATACGTTGTTACTGTCTGTATTACGATCGACGTTTTCCGTAGGGCCTGCTCATTAACACAGACAGATCGTTTTCACTTTTCCTGCCGGATCCTTGGTCCTATAGGCTCAATATTTGATTGCCAACTGAGTTTTGTGTTTTGTGTGAGGCTCAATATTTGCTTGACAAACGGAATGGGTCCTGAGTTAATTGGGGTGGATTTGGACATGCTGGTATCCTCCGTTATCAAATGTAAACATACACTAATTTTGTAAAAATATATATATCAATACGGATCAAGAAAACATGGTTAGACAACTCTTTCGAGGTCGATGATCTGAAGGACATCATTCCTGAGATTGTTGCTGCCTTCTGTGAAGATGCTGCATAGGTCCCATCAGTGGTTTTCTGTGTAGATGAGGTAGAGGTTCCATCAGTGGTTGTCCGTGTAGATGAGGTAGAGGTCCCATCAGTGGTTTTCTGTGTAGATGAGGTATAGGTCCCATCAGTGGTTGCCCGTGTAGATGAGGTAGATGTCCCATCAGTGGTTGTCTGTGAAGATGAGGTAGAGTTCCCTTCAGTGGTTGTCCGTGTAGATGAGATAGATGTCCCATCAGTGGTTGTCTGTGTAGATGAGGTAGAGGTCCCATCAGTAGTTGTCTGTGTAGATGAGGTAGATGTCCCATCAGTGGCTGTCCGTGTAGATAATGTAGAGGTCCCATCAGTGGTTGTCCGTGTAGATGAGGTAGATGTCCCATCAGTGGTTGTCTGTGTAGATGAGGTAGAGGTCCCATCAGTAGTTGTCTGTGTAGATGAGGTAGATGTCCCATCAGTGGCTGTCCGTGTAGATAATGTAGAGGTCCCATCAGTGGTTGTCTGTGTAGATGAGGTAGAGGTCCCATCAGTGGTTGTCTGTGAAGATGAGTTAGAGGTCCCATCAGTGGTTGTCCGTGTAGATGAGGTAGAAGTCCCATCAGTGGTTGTCTGTGTAGATGAGATAGATGTCCTATCAGTGGTTGTCTGTGTAGATGAGGTAGAGGTCCCATCAGTGGCCATGAGGCTCTGGAACATTCTTCAGATTAAATTAAGAAAACGATGTTTTTACAACATGGCATGACAATGACCTTATAGCAATGGTTAAAGAGAAAGAACGTGCGTTCAAAGTCAATGTCAAGGCCGGTAAACGACGTGATTCCCTGAGTATGCTATTTTTCCTTTTCTACGCAAGGAGTTCAATTCAATCCAAGCATTTAAATACGATGACTATATCACCAATGTGGAACATTCTGTAAAAGACAATCCTAAACGTTTTTTGGGATTTGTGAGAGGAAAACGGAAGAAGGTGACTGTCCTGGACTCTGTTTCAGACTGTTCATCGTCGTCTTCCAACAATGTTGAATCTGTAGGTATGTTTCACGTTTTATTCAAAAGTGTGTTCTGTATGGACGACGATTGTGATCTTCCTCAAATATCAAATATATGTAAAAAATGAATTTGACTGCCCGCTAAGCACAATTGTTTTGAAATGTACTGATGTTCGGAAGACACTTACACAAATAAATGTAAAAAATGCTTGTGGCTACGACAACATATCTGGCGTAGTTTTTAAAAAGTGTGCTGATGAGTTATGTGTACCACTGTGTAACATTTTCAACCGTTCATTGAACGATGATACATTTCCAAGTATTTTAAAAAGTGCCAATGTTATTCCCATTTTTCAACCTCGTAAACGTAATAAAGTATCTAATTACAGACCAGTATCTTTACTACCAATTCTATCTAAAGTCTTCGAAAAACTGGTTGACGTACATGTTTCTAATTTTATGAATACGCTTATCTGCGATGAGCAACATGGTTTTATGCCAAATTTTTACCGATCAGATGTCCAAAGCCTTTGATAACAAGAAAATGCAGCAAAGCTGCTGGACACCAAATCATTGTTTATGAAAATGACTTTCTGACAGTCCAGCAACCAGGATCGAGGTAACGGATCCTGCATACTTGATTGTATTTAATTGCACAATTTTCACTCAATAATTGTCCCACAGTTCGCAAATGTACATTTCTAATAGCACGTTTAAATGCTAACGATTTGGTAAATACGTCATCTCCTGAGAGAGAGAAGGGACATATCATCATTTACATAAAATATAATTTATAACTTTTGTCAAAATTGTAGTGAATTTTTCACAAATTTCTTTTCACAATGCAATCTTTGGATACAATATCAACCGTCTTCTTTTATTAAAGGGTCAATTGTAGCCCCTCTTTGAATAATAGTTATTACTTCTCGAGACTGTTATGAAGACACATTTTGTCACGCCGCTGTTTTTTTTGTTGTTATCACATATTCGTTTAGTACAATTGAAATAAATATAACGTATTGAACGGGAAAACAACACCCCTGAAGATGGGGGATCGGGAAAAGAATTTACCTGCTTGTATCGTAGGAGGCGACTAATGATTCGTTTTGGCGTCCTCTATTTGGTGACACAAAAGCGACTATGATAAATCTGCTGCCCCATTGCAAAAATGGTCTCCATGAAAGTTGGGAGTTGGGTCCACGTCCCGAGGCTGGGTACGTTGGCGCTCAGTGCGTATGTGATCATTTCGGGGGGGGGGGGGTTGTCGCGCGCTGGGCGTCAATGTAGCAGAAGGCTTTCACAGTAACTCCAATTTGAGCCAACCTGTTTGCCGTGGGTTGCGTCTCGTATTCCTGGGGAAAGAAGATTCTGGTGGTTGAGCAGGGGTCGGAATCACTGATGAACTCTGGATTGGAGGGAGACATGATCCGACTTTCAGCAACATACTACTTTGGCTTCGGACTCTGGGTAGTCGAAAGGTGGTATGGGCTCTCTATCACCAATCGGCTGGTCACGACGAGCCCTTGGTTTACATACTTCCAAGAAGGCGGTGGCTTAGGGTCAATCGCGAGAGTATGCTCTTCCGGGTAATATATATACTCGTTATGTATACTTTTATGAGTATACTACTTTGTGTATCCCTGACACTTTGGCGCTGGATATCCGCGCTGATATTAGTGTCCCCTCGTTGGGCTCCGGGTGGGCGGGGACACAGACAGTGAACTTATTTAAAAAAAACCATACATGGGTAATGAAAAAAACACAGAAAAACACCCTACAACTACCACATTCCCACAATTCATCATCATGTCGTCAACCACTAGTGGAAAAACTGCAGCAACATTGTCTCCTCTTCTGTTAAGGAAGGGTATAAAAGGAATAGCTGGGGACGTAAAGTCCGTCAAACCTTTTGGATCTGACGATCTCCTAATCGAAGATTTTCGCAAAGAACAGGCGATTAACCTACTGGGTACCACCAGTTTTTGAGGTATCAGTGTTATAGTGAAACCACATCCATCACTAAACAGCAGCAAGGAGGTAATCAGATGCCCGCCCTGCGCAATGACGCTGATGCCGCCATACTGGAGTACTTCCAGGAGGAGGAGATCCCAGTCTATGAGGTACCACGGATTTTGTCCAAGATGAACAACAAGTTGGTTCCAACAGACACGTTTCTACTGACCTTTGCTTCCCCAACACTACCTTCGGCCGTAGTGATTGGTTACCAAAGGTGCAGTGTCTCCGTCTACATCCCTAATCCACTAAGATGTCGTAACTGTCAGAAGTACAGGCATCATGAAAAAAGATGTAGGCGGAAGACCGTTTGCCAGTATTGTGGTCGTGAAGGTCATGAGGAACAAAGCGACTGTGATATTGCCAACCTGCTTGTGTCAACTGTGAGGGAAAGCATGCTGCTTCGTCTCGAGACTGTCCTGCCTGGAATCGAGAGAGAGAGAGAGATTGCGGGTCAAATATACCCGAAATGTCTCCTTTCCCGAGGCTAGGAGGATAGTGGAGAGCACGGACGTGACTGCTCCCTCATATGCGCAAGTGACGAAAGTCCGGTCGCCGATTGACAATGTCGCAGTCAAGGATGTTTTTGTTCAAGTGTCTGAAGACATACCTGCCTGGGGCGCACAAGTCCCAGACATGGCTGGTCAACAGAACTTGAAAATCCTCACGGGAGACCCACCTGATTCACGATTTTAACCAAACCAACCAAACCAAACAAACTGTCAAAAGCAGCATCACCATCAAAAAAAGCATCACCATCAAAAAAAGCATCTTCATCAAAACCAGCACCACCATCAAAACCAGCACCACCATCAAAAACACCTTCCTCTTCAGGAGAAAACCCTCCAGCGATCTCGCTCACTTACATCTTTTCCTCGATCCCAACTGAGGTCAGAGGCAACATCACCAACCAACAGACCTAAGAAAAAAATTAAAATAGCGAGGGGCAAATCTGATGTACCCGAACTGATCGTCACCTTTGGCAAAGGATCAGAGGACCCGACAAACCGGTTCAATGTCCTACTAGGTTTCGATGATGAGATGGAGACGAATGCCTCAGCGCTTCGTGCTTCGACTCCATCGAAATCCAGCCAAAATAGCAAAAAATAAATAATACAATTATCCAATGGAACATCCGCGGATTAAAGGCAAATATAGAAGAATTTTAGAATCTATCAAAGAATTTAGACCCGCCATTTTTTGTCTACAAGAAATCATGCTCAAAAACCCAACCACGCTTAGAAATTTCTCACTCTACACTAACATTCCAACTGTAGTTAGCAGAGCAGCAGGTGGCGTAGCGGTAGCTGTCCATAAAAATATTCCTCACAAAATGATCAAGTTAAACACTTTACAGGCTGTTGCTGTCTGTGCAACATTACACAGACAAATAACCGTCTGTTCAATTTATCTCCCTCCGAGTATTGTTTTCACTTGTGAGCAACTCAATAATATCGTCTCCCAGCTCCCAACACCATCCATAATCCTCGGTGATGTTAATGGTCATAATAGCCTGTGGGGCTCTCCCAACACAGACGAGAGAGGAAGACGTATTGAGGAATTTATAGATAAAAACAACTTGTGCCTTTTTAACAACAATACCCCTACCAATTTACACCCTGCTACAGGCTCTCGTACCCACATTGATCTACCATTATGCCATCCATCCATTCTACTTGATTATGACTGGAGGGTAAATGATGATCTTTGTGGGAGTGACCACTTCCCAATTTTTCTTAAGAATATTGGGACTCCTCTTGATAATCCTCTACCTCGATGGAATATGCACAAAGCAGATCGGGTCCAATTCCAACACATGTGCATTGAAAAACTAACCATAGACAATTTTACTAACCTCGACGACCCTATCAATACTTTTACTGAAATACTCACTTCTATTACCCACAAGACAATTTCAAAATCCGCTCCAAAACCTACGAAGTTCCTTTTATCTGAAGAATCTTTTAAAACACGCAGTAATCGGGAAGCTACTCTAAGACGCTACTTGAATTGCCCAACTGCTACAAACTACAGTGAATTTAAAATTTTGCGGGCAAAGGCTCGGCGATCAATTAAAATTGACAAAAGAAACAGCTGGAGGGAATATGTATCAAAGATATCATCAAACACGTCCTCAAAAAAAGTATGGGATATGATTCGGAAAATAAGTGGGAAAAAGAAAAAGGCAACATCCTCCCACCTCATTAATAAAAACATTTTTTTTTCGTCTTTGTCTGAAATTGCTGATGCATTTGCAAAAAACATAGCTAAAAACTCATCCCCTTTAAACCACTCCTGAAAATTCCAGTCTTTAAAGAAAAAAAGAGAAAAGAAACGGCTCAATTTCAAATCATCAAACAAAGAAAGTTATAATGAGCAATTTACCCTACCAGAATTTGTTGATTCGCTTAGAAAATCACAGGACACTGCTTCAGGTCCTGATGATATTCCATATCAATTCCTACAGCACTTACCGGACTCGTCACTAACATGCCTTCTTTACATATTCAACCAAGTTTACGCTCCCGGAAAGATTCCCGATTCGTGGAAGAACTCCACAATTATACCTATCCCAAAACCGGGAAAGGATGCTACTGACCCAAACAACTATCGTCCTATCTCTCTGACTAGTTGTGTATGTAAAACTTTAGAACGAATAATAAACACTAGACTGGTTTGGTTTCTTGAGGCCAA